AGAACGCTCTCATACACACTATTAGAAAGCTAAAATATATGGTCCCCCTCCTTTAATTTAGGCAAACATTGCTCAAATATCACCGAATCCAGATGGTTTGTTGTTGATGAAGAGAGGAATAAACACAGTTTAAGATTTGCAGCTAAATTAATTTGTTTCCATATTATGGAACTGCTATCAGGCACTTCCCATCATCTTATATCAGTAATAAAAAATTATAAATACAAATTTGGTATTTGGTGACTTGACTTTTATTTCTGTCAGGCTGAAGTGAAAAAACTTGGAAAGAGACTGATTCTCTTGGCGTTTAAAATAACAACACAAAACAGCATAAGAAAACCGCATTTATTTTTTTTATTTTACAATTTTGTAAACAACAGCGGCTGATTAAACTAAATGTCTCAACCTTGTATAATTTTACGACTTTTTATTTAACCAAGAAATGATCCGAAAGGCCTGGGAAATGATCAGATCCGCTTATGTGGCTGCAATGCGCGGCGCGCTCCCGACACAGGTGGAACAGATTTTCACATGGGAACAGAATTTCGCACAACACCGGAAAAGGATCTCTGTTAAAGCAAAAACATAAAAAATAAAGTCGAGTAATGCCCATGCTTCTGTGAGTTGTTTAGCGGATAGCTGAGCATGAATCAATAATTTTATTTGATACAATTTCGGCCGGAGATAGCACAAAATGTACGGAGCTAGCCAGAATGACCTCCGTTTAAAACAACTTCTGGTGTAATGACGGTCCTTCCTGTTTCATTGAAACACCTTCCGTTTCAACTGAAACACCTTCCGTTTCAACTGAAATCCGCTAATAGCTTTTCAGTAGTGTGTATGAGAGCTTTCTAGTAGCGTGTATGAGAGCTTTCTAATAGTGTATATGAGAGCGTTCTAATAGTGTTTATGAGAGCTTTCTAATAGTGTATATGAGAGCGTTCTAATAGTGTATATGAGAGCGTTCTAATAGTGTATATGAGAGCGTTCTAATAGTGTATATGAGAGCGTTCTAATAGTGTATATGAGAGCGTTCTAATAGTGTATATGAGAGCTTTCTAATAGTGTATATGAGAGCGTTCTAATAGTGTTTATGAGAGCTTTCTAATAGTGTATATGAGAGCGTTCTAATAGTGTATATGAGAGCGTTCTAATAGTGTATATGAGAGCGTTCTAATAGTGTATATGAGAGCTTTCTAATAGTGTATATGAGAGCGTTCTAATAGTGTTTATGAGAGCTTTCTAATAGTGTATATGAGAGCGTTCTAATAGTGTATATGAGAGCGTTCTAATAGTGTATATGAGAGCATTCTAATAGTGTATATGAGAGCGTTCTAATAGTGTATATGAGAGCGTTCTAATAGTGTATATGAGAGCTTTCTAATAGTGTATATGAGAGCGTTCTAATAGTGTTTATGAGAGCTTTCTAATAGTGTATATGAGAGCGTTCTAATAGTGTATATGAGAGCGTTCTAATAGTGTATATGAGAGCATTCTAATAGTGTTTATGAGAGCGTTCTAGTAGTGTATATGAGAGCTTTCTAATAGTGTATATGAGAGCGTTCTAATAGTGTTTATGAGAGCTTTCTAATAGTGTATATGAGAGCGTTCTAATAGTGTATATGAGAGCGTTCTAATAGTGTATATGAGAGCATTCTAATAGTGTATATGAGAGCGTTCTAATAGTGTATATGAGAGCGTTCTAATAGTGTATATGAGAGCTTTCTAATAGTGTATATGAGAGCGTTCTAATAGTGTTTATGAGAGCTTTCTAATAGTGTATATGAGAGCGTTCTAATAGTGTATATGAGAGCGTTCTAATAGTGTATATGAGAGCATTCTAATAGTGTATATGAGAGCTTTCTAGTAGCGTGTATGAGAGCTTTCTAATAGTGTATATGAGAGCGTTCTAATAGTGTTTATGAGAGCGTTCTAATAGTGTATATGAGAGCGTTCTAATAGTGTTTATGAGAGCGTTCTAATAGTGTTTATGAGAGCGTTCTAATAGTGTTTATGAGAGCGTTCTAGTAGTGTATATGAGAGCTTTCTAATAGTGTATATGAGAGCGTTCTAATAGTGTTTATGAGAGCTTTCTAATAGTGTATATGAGAGCGTTCTAATAGTGTATATGAGAGCGTTCTAATAGTGTATATGAGAGCTTTTTAATAGTGTATATGAAAGCTTTCTAGTAGTGTGTATGAAAGGTAAAGCTTTTCACCAGTTTATATGAACAGTTCTCACTACTTTGTATGAGAGCTTTTAAGTAGATTATATAAGAGGTAAATGTTTTCACTAGTTTATGTGAGAGCTTTTTACTAGTGTTTGTGTGAGGTTTTCAGTATATTATATGGAAGAGTGTAATTTAATATGTGTATATGCAAGTTAATTCTGATTTATGTCCCTGGGGGCACCTCATAACATGCAGCAAAGGCCACAGGACTCAAACCTGTGACTGCTGCGCCAAGGACCAAAGCTTTCACTCATGGATTGCACCCCTCCACCATCACTGAACCTTGAGATAAAATAAATAAAAAAATAATGGTGTTTATATATATATATATATATGTATATATATGGGTATATATATATACATATATATATATATATATATATATTTTTTTTTTTTTACCTGATCAACAGTAAACTAAGATTGCAATATTTAAATGACACAAGGATACTAATTTCTGAACTGATCAAAAAATTACTATTGTTTCAGAACATAAGTAGTCTACATAAGTGGTCCCACCAATCTGTCGCAGGGCAAAAAAAAGAGAATTAAATGGCCTATAATATTCAGGTTTAAAAACTTTGTGTCAACTATTGTGTCGCTTTTGTACAGTACAATAAGCGCTTAATTCAGCCAGGTTTAATAAACAGGCACCCCATGATAATTTTCTTTTTTGGTGCAGTTTGCAGCAAGAAAGTCTTTGGCTATGTCCCAAGCCCACGGTCTTTCTGTATGGAGTTTGCATGTTCTTCCCATGTATGCATATGTTCTTTCTGGGTACTCAGCTTCCCCTTGCAGTGCAAAAAATGACTACTAGAAAGTAAGAACATGACTTTTAGGCCATTCTGGTAAAGTGCCTTAAAAAACAACTCCTGAAGACTAAACTTGGGATATTACTGAGGTAAAGAATGGAAAGATTGACCAGTTAATGGTATACCACATGGTGGCAGTATATGAATAAAATTTTTTGTTCAGTTTGACACAATAGCTCCACCTACATGACAAAGTTAAGGATAAGGCTAGTGCTTGGGGATGCTGCAAAAAGACTGGTTAAGAAAGTAATTCAAAACCTGAGAAAAAGATGTCCAAAAAATGAACAGGTGGCCTAAGTTTACAGATTTGTTTGCCTATTAGGTTTTACTGAACATTAAAACAAACACACCAACATAGCTAAGGTACATATCTAAAATTAAAAACTGTTAATAGTTACCCACTTAATGAAAGCATATCATAGAACAAGTTCTCTTTACAACCTGTTAAAGAATAATGGTCCCCTCTATAAAGATGTCAAAAAGCCCGAATTAAAGGATTTTTTTTATTGCGGTACTGTAATGTTCTGTATTATCATGGTATTTTCCTATTAGGTTTTACTGAACATTAAAACAAACACACCAACATGGCTAAGGTACCTAGCTAAGATTATAAACTGTTAATAGTTACCCACTAAATGAAAGCATATCATAGAACAAGTTTTTTTTATAACCTGTTAAAGAATAATCCCCTCCATAAATAATAGTCCCCTCCATAAAGATGTCAAAAAGCCTGAATTAAAGGATTTTTTTTTATTGCGGAACTGTAATGTTCTGTATTATCATGCTATTTTCCTTAAGAACAATGACAGAGAACTATCTGGGTCAAAGAAACAGTTTTCTGTTTTATCCCAAATTTATACCCAATGGAAACAAAAATGAAGCATTTATATCTATCATTTATATCTATCTTGTTTAAGTACAAACCTGTAACTTAAATCTACAGAGAGCAAACTGAGTCATTAGTGTATGAAACTTGAACTCTAAGACCTTTGGTTGTTAAACTTGGAAGCACTATCTTATCATATTATACAATGAACTTAATTTCTTTAGAGGTAGATTAAATGTGTGCAAATTATTTTTACCACAAAAAAAAATATTCAGAAAATGTACATTTTGTATATAAGCTGAAATTTATGACAAGAGCTGAAACATATTTAAAGTGGAAGCACAACAAACATTATCTTGATACAAAAATTGATATAAAACTGGTCCAGAATAAGCAGGAAACTAACACTTGAAATTAAAATGGGATATAACAATGCTTAAAGAAAAGAATCAAAAGTAGCCTAAAGGACAAATCTAATACAGGAAAAAAAAAACAAAAGAAAAGAAAAATAAATAAAAAAACACAATTCAATTGAACATATTGGGCATTTAATTATTGATATAACCTTTAATATGCTAAATTCAAACATAAACATTTTTCATCACATCAACATAACTTAACAATTTTATCTACATCTATATTACCATAAAATTATAAGCTTACATTTTATTCATCCAATAGCAATGAATTAATCCTTTGTCTTTTAGATTTGTGTCTTTAGAGACATAAATGTTTAACTTTTCTTCATTTGAATAAATCTTTGTAGCCTTAATTCATTTTAACTTTGCCCTGCACCTTTAATTCAGGTCCACATTAAAACAATATAAGAATCACTTGAGAACAGCGTTTAAACTAACATCTGGTTTTCAGCTGATGAAGATTCTCAGTCATCCAGGTCATAGTCATTCCGTAAAAGTTCAAACAATCATAGACAAGTTTCAGGTATTACAGGAGACAATCCCCCCTTTAACAACCTTCAGAATCATAGACAGGTTTCAGATATTACAGGCTAACAATGGAACCAAACCACCCTCTCATTGGTTTCCATTTGCATGTTTCCAAGCAATACAAGGCCTTCTCTATATAAAGACTCAAACTCACTGCGGATCCAGACATTTGAATTGAGAAAGCTTCCTGGAGAGGTGGAGAAACGTCTTCAAATCTTGGAAACCAAGTCCAGTGGATTTTTTTTTTTTTTACTTTTACGGAATCTGGTTTTGAGTACTTCATCAGATAATCAGTTAAACAAAAAACGTGTGTCAATAAGGGTCTTATCTGGTAAAAACACGTTTCTTATTTAAATGTGCCTATTGTTGCCTAAAGGTATGCCGACACTTAGAGGACCATATTTCAACTCTTTTTCACCCCATGTCTTCATTGCTTAAAAAGCTACGAGTACTTCTTCCAGCTAAACAGCTCACTACATCTATATGTTCATGGAATTTTGACTTACAAGCTAAAGCTCAACTAAAATATAAAATTTATGTGTTCAGGCTTTTGGGCACTGAAAATTACATTCAACATCATGTCCATCCAAAGTGCTTTGGAGGAGTGAGATTAACGCTGTATGTGCACCCATGTAAACATAACATTTCGCTTAGTGTAGAATTTTGCTGAAGTACTAATAATATGTACTATGGTTGCTTTGTTGTGTGAAATATGTTGTGCATATTCATTTCATTCATCAAATGTGAGTGCAAAACTGATATATTTACAATGATTTAAGACAAACATATACAAAGCTTGAGAGTTTTCTGAGATGGTTAATTACATAAAAAAATGAATAAAAGTTATAGCTGTGTTCCTTGAATATCTGATTTGACCTGATTTACCCAAGCCAGTCAGATAATTTAATAACCAAACTTCCACATATTTAAAAAATATATATATATCTCTCTTATTTAGTTTATCACACTTTAAATGTTCTGTGCAAAGTAGTGGGTACACAGCTTGTTATAATTTTTTGGGGCACATATTAGACGGTTAACCATATGTATTTTCCTCTCCAATATCATATTAAAAAGTTCTTGTGCACATTAAGGAATACGAAGTTTTTTATAATCTTTTGGAGCCCATACTAGGCGTTTGATAAGTATGTCATTTTTAGGGAGACTTCTGTCCCAGCAGTACTCGGGGGAGAGTAACTTAGTAGGTTTATTTAGCCAGAAGTACTTGTTTAGGTGACTTTCATCATGCCATAAAGCCTCCACATCATTCATTTTGTCCTCCATGATGTTCAAGTAACAGTAATCTGCCAAAGCCTTTACCTTTTCACAAGTTCCTCCAAAAACTGCAGCATGGTAGTAGTAATCACCTTCAGTCATGCAAGCTTTGGATTTTGGATTCCTGTCATACGTGAACCTGTTCTTTGGTAGTTTGTAATAGTGAGCATGAAGTAGAGCCACCGACTCCCCAAGAGCTTCAGAGCCAAATCTTGCTGTAAATATCTGATCCACATCGAAGCAAAAGACATAATTGAAGTTGTGCTGGAGGACTGTGTCGATTACTTCAGATATCGTTTTCATTCGCATCATAGAGATATCTTGCCACCTGTTGTACTTCTTGACCTTTATAATTTTGATGTTATGCTGATGAAAGATGGTTATATTCAGTGCCTTCTCTGGTAAATCCGTAAATACAAAATATGTTACTGGTAATCCCACCATAAAATGCTTTTTGGCTGAGGTCAGGAAGGTGTTGAGATAGGCCTCCAGATACCTTTGGCGGAAACAAAGACAAACAAAATACATCAGAAATACATAAAAGTAAGAAACTTATATTTAATTGTTCTTTACGGAGCCAAACTTCAGAAGCCTTTCACAAATCACTGGATAAGTTTAAATATTTTAAAACCGATCAAAATTTATCAACCTAGTCTCATTAACAGTTGCCTCTGTAAGCAAAACCTGGTTGCCTCCAGTGTTATTTGTAGACTTTTCTTGGAAAAATGTATTTTTATTTGACAGGAATTATATAACTATCCTGTGCATTGTTTAATATTAAAGAGGTTTACAAGTGGTAAAAACTAATATTCTTTTGAGTTTAGTTTGAGTTTTTTTTTTTTTTTTTTTTTTTACAAATCAAATAGTTACCTGTCAGATTTATTTATATGTAATCTTCTTATTACTCTGTGACCACAAAATTAAATCTGGAGTCAACAATTTACAAATTTAATAATTGAAATATACTTGTGCATATTAAATCTAATTATGGAACACAGCGTATCTTTAAAGACTTTAGTATTTTTGTAGTATAAAAGTATCTCTTGTATAACTCTGTCAGAAAATGACTTAGTATTAAACTGATTTATTCTAAATTCATTTGAGACAAAAGGCAACATTTTCTTATTGTACAGGCAAACATTTGGGTTCAGCTGTATTTGGTTATGTTCCGTTATGATTTCGGACAGTAATTTTGGTGAAATTCAAATAAATATGACCAACAGAGAAACAAACCTTCCAACTGCAAAGACAGTAAGGGCAACTTTTGATTTTGCTTCCTTGTGAGCATTATCATAAAGATGTTCATTAAACATTAACTCCCACAAAATGGAAGCATTCCAGGAAGTAAGAGTCTGAACATCCGGTCTTGCCCTAAAATAAAAGAAGCAAAGCAACAGTGATAAGGGGTTAAAAGATTTAAATACAATTTTGAAACACATTTGTTCAAAATTATGGATAGTTAAAGTACTTTGGTACAGTCGATTATAATATTCTTTTAGAAAGACTTGAATATTTTGTAGGAATTACATGAACAGCACAAGACTGGTTTGAATCTTATCTATCTGGTCAATTTCAGTTTGTTTACATTAATGACAAATCTTCCTCTCTTAATGGTTACCAGTGGAGTACCACAGGGATCAGTACTAGGACCAATTCTCTTTACTATATATGCTCTCAATCAGTAGAATTATTAGACAGCATGGGATTCATTTTCACTCTTACGCTGATGATACCCAGCTATATCTGTCTATAACTCCAGATGAAGCTAACCCATTACATAGATGACAGGCATGTCTTCAAGACATAAAAACCTGGATGACTCTTAACTTTCTGCTGCTGAATGCGGACAAAACAGAAGTTAAAAATAAGCTGATTAGTCAGTCACCTAATTTGGATGGGATTAAACTGATTTCAGATAATAAAGTTAAAAATCTGTGGAAAATCTGTGAAAAGTAATTCTTTACAATCAGGAAGTCTACAAACTGTAGTTAAAAGCCTTCAGCTGATCCAAAATGCTGCAGCCAGAGTTCTGATGAAAATGAAAAAGAGAGATCATATCTCGCCTATCCTAGCTTCTCTTCATTGGCTTCCTGTTAAATCCAGAATAGAATTTAAAATCCTCCATCTCACATATAAAGCCTTAAATGGCCAAGCTCCATCTTATATCAGAGATCTGATTGTTCTTTATGTTCCTAACAGAGCACTCAGTCTCAATCTGCAGGTTTACTAGTGGTTCCTAGAATTTCTAAAAATAGAATGGGAGGCAGATCTTTTAGTTATCAGGCTCCTCTCCTGTGGAACCAACTACTAGTTTTAGTCTGTGAGGCAGACACCCTGTCTACTTTTAAGGGTAGGGTTAAAACTTTCCTTTTTGATAAAGCTTATAGTTAGAGTGGCTCAGGTTATCCTGAGCTATCTCTATAGTTATGCTTCTATAGGCTTAGACTTCTGTAGGACATAGGAACCCCCATTTCATCATTCTGCTTGATTCTATCTCTATTCTCCCATTCTGTAGAATCTGTCAGTTCAATCTCTAATGTTACGCTCTCTCTGCTTTTTCTCATAGTAGCTTTGCCTCGTCTGTTTCTGTTCGGCTGTGATGCCATCCTGGAGAGAAATATCAGTGTAGTCCTGTTGCACTGACTGACTGGCTGGATGTGCTTTCTTCATTCTCTGACATGGGAGTTGTCCCGAAGGTCGTCTACTTGGCTGTGTGTCTCCTGAATGGGGCCACCTTTTACAGTTCAATTCAGTTCAGTTTATTTATATAGCGCCAATTCACAACACGTCATCTCAAGGGACTTTACAAGTCAGTTGGTTTTTGTATCTCTGCTTCTTTAACCTTGAACACCTGTCAGCCTGAGCAGATGGTCGCTCACATTGTTGCTAAGAGCATGCGTAGTGTGAGGAATTGCCTTCAAGTCAATGAGTCGATGCAATCAACTGATTTTCCTTAGATAGAAAACTTTGAATCAGTTTGACTGTATGATCTTTTTAGTTTATAATAATTAATCACACTTGGATTTATATATTCCAGCTATATAGTAATGGTTTATTACTTTTTTTATATTTTATTGCAACAATTGCATGGAAACTAATGTAAAAAAAAGTATTAGTCTGTGCATTAAATTAAGAAAGCTTTTGTATTTAAACATAACCCTTCTCAGCATATGGTTCCCAGCCTGACATCATAATTACACCTTTCTCACTCAGTGTCAACATTTTCCAAACAAATTCAGGAGAAAATATTTAATGAATTAGTATATACAGTATGTCCATATGAGACAAACAAACGAATTAAAGGAATAGTACACCCAAAACATGATTAGCCTTCATTTTCTACTCACCCCCATGCTGAACAACACTCTGGAGTACTTTTTTGATATCTCAAATGCATCTGGAGATCTGGGAGGCTTCTTGCTGTCTGCTGACATTCAAATAATGGAGGTCTACGGTGCCCAAGACAGAAAGGTCCATTAAAAGCCACAAAAAACGTGTCAGTATTCCTCCATACTGCTCGTCCAATGTATTCCAAGTGTCCTGAGTGGGTAGCATCCAGAATTTACTCGAAACGAAGTCATTTAGAATGTTTTTAGAGCATAAACAGTAGTGTATAGGATTTCCTAAAAGCGCGTTCAGGAGTCTACGGAAACCGCGGCAGACCAAACCAGACGAAAGTGCGCATTCAGCTCGGCAAAGAACTCATGCTCTTCCTCAACACTGAAGTCCTCAGACATTTTTCTTTCGTTGTTTCTTTCTTTGCACAGGTAAACAGCACATTTCTTCTTCTACGCTTGCATTATCGGCAGAGCAGACGCTGAATGCGCACTTTCATCTGGTTTGGTCTGCCGGCTTCTGTAGGCTCGTGACCGCGCAGGCTCGCGCTTTCAGGAAATCCTATACACTACTGTTTATGCTCTAAAACCATTCTAAATGACTTCATTTCGAGTAAATTATGGATGCTACCCACTCAGGACACTTGGAATACATTGGACGAGCAGTATGGAGGAATATTGACACGTTTTTTGTGGACTTTTATGGACCTTTCTGTCTCGGGCACCGTAGACCTCCATTATTTGAATGTCAGCAGACAGCAAGAAGCCTCCCAGATCTCCAGATGCATTTGAGATATCAAAAAAGTACTCCAGAGTGTTGTTCAGCATGGGGGTGAGTAGAAAATGAAGGCTAATCATGTTTTGGGTGTACTATTCCTTTAAGGTACATTTACTAAAACAATAACACTATTTCAATTTCACTCAAATGAGTTAAACCCTGCACCAATGCCAGTCATTTCTATTTAATAAAATTCAAAAATATGCCCTTTCTGATCAGAATAAAAATGTTTAGTCAATATGGCAATATAGCGATTATAAAACACAGAACTTAGTGCAGATGATGCCAAAAAGTTTACTATTAGAACTATAGAGAATACACAATACAGTTGGTTTTTAAATATCATGAAAAAATAATTACAAAGATCTTGTACACTATGTTATTAGTAGTTCAAACAGAATTGGCTTAATTTAGGCCGTTTTCATCTTGCAGGACCATTCGTTTTTAATCCTGATAAAGATCCTGTCAGACAGCACGTTCATTGGAGTAAATAGAGCCAGATGTGCTTGCAACACAAGACAGAGATTTGTGAATACATATACTCCCAAAAATTCTTCTTGCCAGAAGCCAATAGATGCATTAGCCTCAAATACAGAAATGTTTCGAACAAATGAAATGCAGTTACGTATGACGTCAACCAAAGACAGGCTGAAACAAAACAAACATAAAAAAAATGTCAAAATGACAAAAGCAAAATCAAAATTTCAAATACATCAAATTGATATCAAAGAATTTATGTTAAGTTGATCTATGTTTTGACCAAATTATGATTATAATTTGTATTGTGTATCAGTGTTTGATGCCAAACTGATGATAAATTGAAATCTTTTTCCCACTGGAAGGCACAGAATATAGACTGATTTTTGTGTCTAGATTACAAAATGTGTACCAGTGGCCTGGTAAAAGGACAAAACTTAAACAACATCACAATAAAGTAACTTGAAAACCAAAATTTGAAAACCAAAAAGCAGTTACAACAAAATAGCCTATGTTATTGACAAACTGAGTGATACAGGTTTTCACGGCTTGGATGTGGATATATCTGCCAGATCCTAGAACAGTTTTTCAGCTGTAAAGACCTCACCCCATAGTTGCAGCTGCCTTAATCCTACAACAGGTTGCAAAAGGATTTATCTTTTCCCATAATATTTTTTTATGAACCCTGTACTATGCACAGTTACATTTTATTACATTTTATGTCACTACCTTGGTTTGCATGTTTGCTTTGATGAGTGTTGTTAGGAATTTACAGTGGTTAATCCATCTACTTTAAAGCTTGATCTCATTTCAAACCTGACAATGGCTCTCAGTTTTATGATTGATTCTTTTAATCTTTTACCTTTAACCTCAGCGGTTTTCATCTTGTTTTCATCTTGTTGATTGTACCATGTAAGCACAGAGCTTATGTAAGTTATATAATTATCATTATTATTAGCAGATTTGAGATTGTATGGTTATTGAAGTAATAAATCTCAGAAACTAGAATCAGGGTTGGAAAAACCTATCAAGATTCATTTGGTCAATCTGAGCCTATTAAACAGCCAAACTTAAGAGCAAAGTGAAATGTGCGCTGTGTGTCAAAAGTTTAAGCAGTGCAAGCATTTGTAAAGAGGCAAACTGGTGTTAAAGGTTTCCAGCATTGCAGCAAAACATCACAAGCTACTTAATAGAAACATTTTTTACGATCTGGGAGAAAGCATGTGCAGGCCGTGCACCCAGCAAAAAGAAAACATGTTAATTGCAATGCGTTTGTTGAGTCTGATGATCTGCTGTAAAAACTGTAGAGATGGATGACAGAGATTTGTTTATTCTAGGATCAATGATGTAGATCATATTAAAGATAAGAGGTCTATGGTAGAGCCCGATAGATTAATTGGTGGGCAAATTTATCCTGCAGATTTTAGCTTATTGATAAACATCGACCAAAATGTGGTCAACATAAAAATAATATTTTTGCTGCACCGTCCTTGGAGTTGGACGAAGAAGGAGAAAGTGAGCAGTTTACTCGATGGTAAGATGTGATTTTCTAAAACGAAACTTTATTGCTATGACAAACTTCCTCATGCAAACACGCTGTTAGGTTGTGTTAAGGAAAGCAGACAAGTTTTATATGTGCCAGTTTTGATGTACATAGTATTTTAGCTCTGTACGTTTTAGCTCTCTGGTGGAAAAAAAAATTAGAAGGCAAATCAAAGCAATGTGATTTAGACGCTTGAGTATAATTTTATATAATTGTTGATAATAGTAAAACACAATCTTGTGAATTAAGTTAGTTTGGTTGACCGTTTCATTTCTACTTTACATCTAGTTTACTACCTTGTGTTCAGTGGGGGATGAAACTTTTTATTAGCCTGTAAATATGATAAACTTATTTTTCTAATGTGTTTTTGTGAATGAGTCTTTTAAAAATGAATTCAATACCAAACACACCCCATTAGCCTGTGTGTTATCACTTAAAAATGTATACAGCCACTTCTTTTCATTTTTAATTCTATAGTTTTTGTTTATAATGAGAATTCGAATTGGACTATAGTTGGTCAGTGCATATCTTGTGTATGTCCATATTAATTTTATTTTACGTTCTGGCCGATATAATTCGCATATCATCAAATATATCACAAATTGGGTTTATAAAGCACTCAATATTGATTGTGGTCTTAAAAATTCTATATCCGTTGGGCTCTACAGATGCAGATAAATGTCACTGTAGTTTGGTACAGAATTAAGACTGAAACTTTATTTAATATCTCACACATATCTTAACCTTCCCATAAACCTAGTTTTGAAACAAAGAAAAAAAAAGAACAAGGCTTCTCAAATAATAACCTTAGATTCCCTGATAAAATAAAAACAAATAGATATTTAAAGTACACTAGGAAATTGTGCTTATTGGGCTTTAAGCATTTAATAATTATGATAATGAAATAACACTCATCAGCAATCATAACCAGAAATGATTTTATGTTTAAATCTATTGTGGACTTTGATTTGTTCAAGCACTAATTAATGTTAATAATTAAAATGTATTACTGCAACTTGCTATTTATAATCACATCCCCATAAATGTCCGTTTCATCAATCTATTAACTCGAAGGGGTGATTTTGAGCACTACCTTTCAGAGGCAGATCACTATAGGTTAGGGGTGTAAATAATAATCGTTTAGTATCGATGCATCGATCCAACAGCCGACGATCCGATGCATCGTTACGTCCGCAAGAGTATTGATTCATGTTCTTTTTTTTCCCTCCGGTCTATTTTTATCCATTTGCTCCTGGACGTAATTCTCCCTCCCGTGCTGCGGTGGCGCTAAACCTATTTTGCCCTCCTACCTCGCTTCCTGGTTATACTCTTACAGCAGTGTGTTGCAGTGAGCTTGACACAGACATTTTTTGATTTATGCTCAATATTGAAGGTTTTAATAGGAATAGGTGGAGTACAACTTTTCTACTTCTGTTATTTGCTGTTGTTTCTCAAATAAAATGCATAACGATATTACAGCTTTCTTTCTTTATTTCAAATTTGAAACATTGTCTAGCCTGTAAGGTGTAAAAAAAAAAAAAAGAAACAATTAATCGAATCGAATCGTATTGTGGTGTATTCTTGAGTATCGAAAAATACGAATTGTTGGGTCAGGAATTCGATACTGACTCGAATCGCCATGATGGATTTGATTTACACCCCTACTATAGGTTATCAGTAAAGACATGTACAATACAATGGATACCTCTCATAATCAATTATTCTGTCAAACAACTATTTATCTACTTAGAAAGCAAACTATTAAATTGATGAAAGGATAACTAAGGGGAAAAAAACTGCAAAAATAATTAACCTTGATGACAGTGCTTTAAACGCAAACAAAGGATCAAAGCTTCAGTTAATTTTCTGCATGAGAAGCTGCAGAGAGACATTAGAATAAGGTGACGTCTGTGTGTAAGACTCCATTACCAACACATGTAGGCCAAGCTTTAAGCTACCAAAGACTAATGCTAGCTGTTCAAACAAGAGTAATAAAACTGCATGTGGTTTCAGGGTTGAACAAGTTAACAAAGGAACTGGGCAACAGAAGAGTGTTGAGGATAGCTCAAAAAGGTCTTTCAACACCTATATTGTGATGTCAGAGCTGCATTACATGCTCAAAAGGCGTAGTCACTTTTTGTTTCTTGGAGTCAGGTCCGACAAGTTCCAGCTTGATGTTATTACATACAGCCAATTTTTCCACAGACAGAAAAGGAACTGAAGCTGGTGGAAGCTTTTGTCATTAATGAGGAGTTATATGAAAATTCTGACAGGTGTGCTCATATGGTGCATATCAACGTTCTGCCAATTCATGGTAAAAAAGAACAAGCTCAAAGTTCAGTTATCACAGAGAAAAAGAAACCAGCTCATGTTCATAGTTAACTTTTTCAAAAAAATGAACTAAGTTCACAAGTTTGTTTTTTTTCTGTCAGTTTTTCTTTTTTTAGTTCATAAAAACTTTGCTAAGCGCTCTGACAAACTGGCATTAGAAATACCAGTAGCTGAGTTAGAATTGAGCATACGAGTACTAGAAATAGACATGCTGGTATGACATGCGGATTGCTGTAATAAGTGCCTGAGGTTATCCAATGAAAAGTGTTGTTTGTTTCGTCAATTGAAAGCAAACGTGAGGTGGGTGTGTCGCTCATTATTCTCAGAGTGAAGGTCGCTCTTGTTTAAAACACATTTGTCACTTCAAAACTGATCCATTCAGTTCACTATTCACAAAAAATATGAAACTATTCAGTGAACGCTTTTCATTGAATGCATTCAAACACAAAATTAGTGGCTATGTTGGAGCATAAAATGCCAATGTTCTGTGTGGAGTTAACGAAGCGCAGCAAAGCTAGAAATGTGAAAGATTTATACTACCCCCCTAGAGAACATCAGAACAATTTTGAGTTAACGAAAGAGATGAAAGGAGTGTCATAGAAAGCTCTGTGCCTGCTTCTTTAAGCTTTTTCTCCTTGATTATTTCCTGAGAAGAGATCACAGATGCTTATAAAAAGTTAAAATAACACTTTCTGATGTATATGTATTAAATTACTATGTTATGACGGCAGGTTTAACAGAATTTATCTTATGCCGAGCAGAGAAATGGCTCAGGTTACAATGGAAGTGCTTAACATAAGGCTCGCTTCGTCATGAGGTTAGTGCTTATTAACAGTTAAGAAGCATTTCATACTTCTCCAGGGTCACACCATGCCACAACCTCACATCTTACATAATTACATTCACATTTTGTTTGTAAATGAGAGACATCGCTGACAACACTTTACCCATTGATTAACCAATGCTTTCTGGAGAGTTAACTCAAATTTTGCTTTTTTTGTAGACTTAAAGATCTTCAAATGCATCAGCACTTCCCCCCATGATATAAAAAACGTATTAGACTAGATTAGTCACTGACATTATAAATCTGGAAAGGGTAGCAAATGGATTTCTAAGGCTTTGAGACAGAGTTAGCGTCATTGCGCTCAACTATAGAAAACAAGAAGTGGTAAATAGGGCTAGTTTAATAGCTCCACTTGTCACACGTATAGATATATGGCTATGAATACAACATTTTTTGGTAGCATACAAATGTCCATTTATAGTTTCACATCTTGTTGCCTTATCATATCTGTTTCTGTGATCAACACTTTTTCTTCTCTATTTTTTGGTAAACCGGATGCTTTTGTGTATTCAACATGAAGAACTTCCACCAGGGGTCCGTTTCACTAAGCGGGTTAAATGAAAACTAAGTTTTCCAAAAATAAAATCTGTGAAACTTTTCAGTTTCACAAAATTAGTTTCCTCACCCTCTTTTTCAGTCACCCTAGTAACATTCTCCACGGAGCTAATCTGGTCAGGAACAGGTTTTGTCAGCAAACTCTGTGTGTCCTCTGTCTATGCTCTCCTTAGAGCCAATCATATTGTTTTATTTCATGATTTAGTTGGATTTTTGCATTAAAAAAACGAAAATATTCTCCAGGTCCGTTAGACATCTTAGGTTTACAAGCAAAATTGCATGTCCGTTTGACAAGGATCTTATAAAAAAAAATGAGCAGCATGGTTTCTCAGAAAATTA